TAGAGCTACTTGAGGGATGATCCAGCGAAAAGTTCGTGTTGTACAAGTCGTGAGACCAATGTATTCCGGCAGTTGGGAATGTACATGTTTACATGGATGACCTATATATTAGGCTACTCTCAAAGTTCCCATTTCCCTTGCCGGAATGGTAAATTCTGACCAGATAGCAGTTGCTCAGTACACAACGGCAACTAATGGAAAGTGCAACTCAAACAAACAGCACGAGTGGGCAGAGCTAGTGTCTGCTTATCACCAGGCACGGGCAGAGAAAACTGCCCGGGATGCACACTTGGACTTGGCGAGATGCGTAACTTGGTATGAAAAGCCATTGACTCGAACATGATATCTCTTGAGTCATGTGCTCACTTGAACAAGCTTGAATTTCAAGCTTGTGGTGTTTCAACGGCACCCATGTCACGGACACCCACAAAAACAATATTGTGTATAGAACGTTTTGCGGAAAAGACTTCACATGAGTTTTGATTTGCTAGATGTTGGAGCCTTGGTGTTCATTTATACATGCACATAGGTTGGAGCAGCTTTCGCAGCCCAGCACCTACTGCGACCTCCAAAGAAGAAGCCGAACCGTCTGGCTTAAGCAGCCTTGGAAGCTTTGTCAAGTGGTGAGTGATTGAGGAGCTTAGTGGACTTCCAAGTTGGATATGTTGGAACAGGCCAACAGGCAACAGGTGTGCAAGTTTCCACGGCACCGTTAAACAAAGACTGCCAAAACATTGCATACTGAAACAGACCGTCTTTCGGACGGGACTCGGCGCGAGCGGAGCGTGAGCGGAGCCGCGGCCCGTCGGATCGGACGTGTCTCCGACCCCCATGGAAGACCCAACATAATTCACAAATTATGACCTTGACCATGGAAATCAGATGAAATTATAGGGTGGTGAGTGTCGGCCGAACAAACAAATCCTGTACATGCTTCAATTCCCTCAGTTTTTGGTGACCACAAAAAGAGAACGTAGCTCAGTGACTCCAGCTTCACAACAACACGAAAACGCTGGTCAGTATATAGTCGCTTTCAAGCCTCAAGATCTGTGTTTGATGCCATGGCAGCATCAGTCTTGAGTGTGGTTTTCAATCTGAGAGCCGCTGACATGCCAATCCCAAAGGCGACGGTCAGCTCCACCAGACGTCACAACCTCACGACCCCTGCGCCTGCCACGAAACGCACATCCGGCACAGCGACATCCAACACCTCCAGGACCAATCCCACAGCGAAGGAAATCGAGTACGAAACGCTGCACCTGTGCAGAAAAATCCTCCATACTTGTACTTCCACATGTTACATTTCTACGCTATCTCACACGAGTCAGCCTTCCATCCCAACCGACAAAAATTTACCCAAATGGCACGACCTTATCGATCGCATTCGGTGGTCTGCGGACGGGCGGACGGTTGCGGACGGTTGCGGACGGTTGGTGACGGTTGCGGACATGAAAGCAGCGCCGCTCTACCCTCAGACACCCAGAGTTAAACGAGAACCCTTCGCTCAATATACGAATTCGGAAAAACAGCTGGATCGTCTGAAGCAGTTCTGAATCACTGGTCCTTGATTATGCAATCCTTTCTCCTCTGCTCACCTTTCCCAATTATGTACATTTGCAACTATTTCAACATAAACCCTATGTTGTGAAATTTAGCACTGGTAGCCTGAAGGTACTTCATTTGTTTTGCCAGGACTGTTCCTCCACGCGTCTACTCCTCCCGATTGCAGCTTCTCGCTACACTGGTCTCTGAGGTGGGCTGCTACATTTGTTCGAGTAACTTGAAATGCCAGAAGTCAAAAGACGAACCCCACGCACACCTATGGCCTGTGGCCGTTTTGCACACCCCAAGGTGTAGCTTGCATACAAATGCCTCAATCCTGCAGTCACTTGAACTGTGCTAAGGGTGCTTTGTCTTTGCTTTACCTCTTGAGCCCTCTTCGCAGTTTGGTGTGCAGCCAAAGCAACCTTCGGGCCTTGCACTGGAACCAGCTGCGCAGCTCGCCATGGCGCGGAGATTTGTGATGCGTTTGACACCACTTGTCATACACTTCATTGTACTTCTTTTCCTGCACAAGTGAGAAAGTATGACATGAACCATGCGAGGGGAGAGAGAGCGAGCGAGAGAGAGAGAGAGAGAGGGAGAATGAGAGAGAGAGAGAGGGAGAATGCTACACATGTAGCCAGAGGTAGCAACAAGTGAACAGGAACAGAAGGTGCAACCCCGAGTTTTGAGTGGGACAGGAATGGTTCAGCAATCCGGCTGCTGAAGTTCGAGAGAGTGCTGTTAGACTGAGACCTGACTGCAATTAGCCAGCTGTGTAAGTGCAAACATGCTGATCCTGGAGAAAGCACATCCTTGAATCCTTGCAACATCCATCTATCTTGCTAATTAGTGCTGCAAGCAGTCCCTACAGATCGAGCGATTTTGGTTCAATTTAGTCACTACAACCAGAGTCAAGTGTATGCCTCCGAATCAAGGATTGCTGCATGTTGTGGCCCCAGCATTGAATTTGATTGATTTTTGATGAATTTGGCATGGAGCAAAGTTGAGCTGAATGCTCTTATATAAGACTCTTAAGGTTATGCGCATGTTGGTCTTGGCCGAATCGAGAAGCACAGCTCTTAGTGCAGCTGTAGCCAACAGTCTGGAGCGTTGGATGCAGATGATGCAGGAAGTGCTTGGGATGCTTGTTTCCAAAGGCCAAGAGTGAGAGCGGCTGAGGTATCTCTCCAATCTCCGACAGGCCAGTTTGGACGCCAGAATCGTGCATCCAAATTTGAATCCAGTTGTCTAGCCACTTGTTGACACCTGAGATTTCAATTTCACAGGCACAGAGGGAGGTCTTTGACGCGGAGTTCCAGCGAGTAAACGGACGAGCACGGACCCTAGGGCTGCTTCTAGCTGTTGCTTATGAAGGTTTTGCACCGTGAGTTCATTGGTTGATATTCTCTGGTACTAATTAAAGCTTGCGCAAACACTTCCAGATGGGAAGGCTCCCACTCCAACGCCCACACCATCCCTGCATACTCGCTCTGCTCCTGCGGCAGCTGCCCAAGGAGCCTAGCCCTAAAGCTACACCGTGTTTGGCAAACAAGATAATCTTCAAGCTTTGCATTTTTTGAGTTGTATGCTGTTGTATGCATCAGTCAACTATTTTGAAGCAGTGTTGTAGTCTTTCTTTGCAGGAGCAGATTTCGAGGAGGCCATTGACAACAAAGTCCACAAACCAAGAGCCAGCCTGTATTGAGTGTTTCGAATCAATCCTAGCGAACTGAAGCAAGTGAAGCCAAATCTGCGCAAGCTAAAGTTATGAACAGAACGTCGCATGATCTCACTCTTCTTGCTGTCGAAATTCTGTTTGCACGGACAGGAATCAGAGGGCGAATTCCGTTGCGAATTTTGTGGTCGTGAGGACTTGGCAGGGGTGTGGGTACAGGTAGGACTGGTGAGTGTATTATCACAATGAACGGACGGCAGAACTTGAGAGGAAAGATTCTAGCATCCTGGGCAAGGATCTTCAACAAAGATACCTCAATCCTTGGCACCTGTGCTGGGCTCCGTGAGGATCCTAATTTCACCTTGGAAGCTCTGGATATCCACTACTGGCGGGAGTGTCCTATGCTTGCTGACTGCCCTCACTGCGAGCAGGTGCAGAACTGAGGCATGTGAATCCTTCAAGTGATTCAAGTGCATTTATGCTTGTGTGGCAGCACCAAGTATGCAACGTAGCGCGGATGCCGCAAGTGCGGCTACTTGTACACTTGAACACGCAAGCCAATGCACATGCAGAATGAATAATGGGTTCTGGCTGTGTGGAACTCTCCAGGTGATTGAGATCTCGAGACTGCACTGGCATTTTCTTGAGGACCCACCATGCTTGATTTTGACCACTGATCGATGGAACAGAAAGAAACCTTTGACTAAAACATGTAGTTGGCATATGACTTGGTGAACAGCGAAGGAATGTGAAAAGGGCGACGCCGCTGTGGCAGATGCGCATCGCCTTCATCCTGATAGGTGAGAGCAGAACCGGGCCTAAACACGAAAAGCAGGTCGACTCTGACATGATAGACTTGACAGACTTCAGACTTGACCATTTGCGGCTGAGCGTTGCTCCAGGTGTCCGCTGTGCCAAGGGCGTGTTTGCAGGAGTGGGGTGCCTGACGAGCATGACTGGCCAGGGTCCCCAGCCCACTACTGTCACCAGTAATGCCGTGGTTCGGTGTTCTTTATTTATCCGCCACTGACAGCTTGCAACAAGAACGAAATGGAATGCAAGCAGCTCTTGTTCTACCGGGTTCTACCGGAGTAACAACGCTTGCACTGTTGCACATTGTCCTCGCCTGAGGCAAGAACATCTCCTGGTGATTGGGTGCCCGGCAAACCCTCGTGGTAAAGGTTTCAGATGATCTCTAGCGGTCTGAGCAGGGAAGAGCAAAGAACAGAGCCTCTTGCACTTGTTAGTATCTCAGTATGCTACTGCAATGGTTTCAAGTCTGGGTGTCATCGCTTTGCACTCTCCCTCTTGCAGCTGTGGGTGCACAGATGATGCTTGCTGATTGCTCAGCAAAGTCTAAGCAACTGTCTGGAGCTTGCCAGGCAAATATATATATATATATAGCTCACAGCAGCCTTAAAGCTTCTTATGCGTTGCCAGTACAGAAGTGTTGCTATATGTTGCTATTACTTGGCAAACCGCATAGACTCCGACTCACAATCAGGGGCTCTTGATGGTGCATGCATGAGGAGATGGGGTCTTCTCAGTGCGGAAAAGTGACCCGTGTGCAATCCTCTTTTGGATATTGGCAGGCACAAGTCCTTGCAGATTGACAGCAGTCTTCAAGACCTAATACTTCACTGTGTAATGGCAGATGATGGCAGAGTTGTTCACACACACACAACACATTGCTCTAAACGAGGAGCAATTCCAAATTGGATCTCCAAAGCGCTCACAACAGATTGCAATCACTTTGTTTGACTCACCTCAAGTGCGGCAGGCAGCTGCTATTGAAACTGGGGAGGGGACATGGCCGCAACTTTAGCAAGGGTGCTTGTGGGAAGAGTGACAGGCGCAGGAGTTTGGTCCCTTACTGAGATACATAATTAGTTGCGCCAAGGTCAAGTCCAATTTTTTCAGCGTGCAACCGCCTGTGGAGTCTCCCGTGCAAATTTGAAGTTGCATGGCAGTGCTTGCAGCGATGCAAAATTACCATTTTTGATAATCATTAATAATATTATTGCATTACAGTAGTTAGGTTAGAGGCCATCACTATTAGGTTGGAGGCCATCGCTACTAGGTTGGAGGCCTCGCTATTGGGTTGGAGGCCGTCGCTACCAGGTTGCGTGCCTTTGGCAACGTCGAGTTGTTGAGACCGGGGCATCGTGTAGCAAGATGAGCGCCAGGTATTCGCCTTGGAAAACATAGTACTATTGCAAAGTCCTTGCCGCTCGGCACATAGAAGGGTGTGATCAGCCTCAACAGAAACAGGGGTCCGGTCAGCATGTTCTGCCCAGGGTACGCTTTTTTGTGAACCCTTAGTCAACGGCTTTGCAGCTGAGCTTTGTCCCTCGCGAATGTCTAAATGGATTGCACTATGGTTGACAGCAGGTACTTTTGTATACTGCCCCACGGCCACAAAGACAGACTCAGGCCAGAGACAAAGTTCGTTGTTTTGCCACAGCTTTGTGAGTCATGTACCTGAGTTATGAGGTGTTGGTTTCTATTTGCACGGCCACCAGGCAAGGGTTACAAGGCTGGCTCCTCATGCCAGGCTTTTGTAACCACTACTTGTATATATATAATGCTACTTTACTTGTTGCAGCAAGCACAAAGCACACGCTGCGACACTTTTCTGGACCGCTTCACACATACACAGACACTTGTAGTCAAGTGCAAATTGGGAGGAGTGGCCGGTCCACGACTGGCCGCCAGAGTTGGCTGGCCACCCATGGGGGCCTTGGCCTCAGCTTCGGACAGGGTTTGATGGTGAATTTGTTGAGAGGGAGACGACGGGGCCAGCAGCCCATGCTTTCAAATTTGCACATGCTTCATGATGAGGGAGCCGCCAGAGCAAATCAACAAAGCACTGTCCCTATTGGCCGTTTAAGACATTACCGCAAGGTTCTCAACGTCACAATTGGGGGCACATCCTGATTCAACTACAGTCACCTCCATTGTCCATTGTGCTGGTTGTACTACATGTAGAACTACCGAGCTGGACGGGCTTTTCTTACCAGTCATCAATTTAGTCTGCTTTGACGTTTTGCCTGAACCTTAGTTCCTTCGGCCGTTCGGCTCGTCAGCTCCTGCGTGCTGTGCTATGGACTCTTCGAGGACCTGTAATAAGTGCAGGTCCGGGGCCCGGCAAGCAGGAGATTCCTGGTGCATTGGTTGCTCCTCCCTCGAGAGCATCGCTGCTGATCTCAAGCGAGGCTGGAACTCAGGTGCTCTGAGGGTCATTGCCGAAGACGCTTGTGTAGCGGCTGCCAGGGCGGTGAGAGCATTGCGGTTTGCTGGGAACCGGCTGGAGGATAACCTCCCCCGAGCCGAGAAATCCCCTGCAGCCGAAGAGGAGTGGTCTTTGGAGGAGGTTGAGGAGGAGCCGGCCGACGAGCGAGATCGAGGAGCAGCTCACTCGACTGCAGCCAAGTCCCGGGCCAAGAGGGCCAGATCTCCTGAGGTAGCTGTTCGGCCGAGGCCCAAAACTCCGCCGCGACCACCTCCAGGCCATCGTGAACGGGAGCGTGCCGAGCGACAGGAGCTTGAGCAGGCAGAGGACGAAGCGGCAAGGGTGAAGAAGAGAAAACATCGAGGAGGCACCAAACACCAGCAACACACCAGACAGCGAGACGACGGACATCAGCGGGTCACGCACCGCCCCTTGGGCCGTGAGCATTACGAGAGGAGGGCCCCTCCCAGGGCCAACGAGGAACGATGACAAGCGCCCATGGGGGCGAGGGTTCACCGTCTATGATGGCGGCCGAGGAACCCGACGACAGGAGCAGCAGGAAATTCGAGTTGAGGCTGAATTCCGAGGAGTTGTTCACGGAGGAGTTCAAAGAAGGAGACATTCTCGAGGTGCTCGACTTGGAGGGTGTTGCAGAGGACGGCATCCTTCGTGGCGTCTTTTGGGTGGAGGCCGTGGAGCTTGCAGATCGCTCTGGCGTTACCCTCCGCGTGGCGTGCTTGGGAGGAGATGGAAAGTCGGAAACGGCCTTGTTGGGAACCACCTTCAACAGGAAGAAGGTGAGACTTCATCTCTGTTCAGGGCGAGAGAAAGATGCTCCATGCACGGTCGGAGCAACTATGGCCCACGCCCAGACGTTTTACAAGTATCCGCTCACCGACTACCCGTTGAAGTATGTCAGCGAGGAGGTCGCAAAGGCCTACAAGAGACGCCGTCGAGAGTGGGGCCGCAAGAGAGGAAAAGGAGGCAGAGATTGTTCAGAGTCGCCCAGCAGAGGACGGCGGGGCGCTGGGGAGGAAAACCCCCCCGTGCGCCCCAGTGCATTGAGGAGGAAGAGGAAAGAGTCGGAGCCTCCCGTCGGCCAAGAGGCCGAACGAGCCGATCCCGAGAGTCATTGGCGCGCACCTGGCGGACAGGGAGACGAGGAGGCAGAGGAGCATGGCGAGCCGAAGGAGAGGACTTCGCGAGAGGGAGGTCACACCGCTCGCACCCGGCAGAGCTCCAATGCAGCCCTCAGTCACGCGCTGGGAAACCTGAGGAGACGGCTTGGCATCGAGAAGGCCCCAGAGCAGCGAGATGGAGTTGGCAATGGCGGCGAGCGCTCAGGCGACTTCAATGCTGCACAGGGCGCCCTGGGCAGGGCGAAAACCAGAGCAAGCCGGGAGCCCATCCCAGTGGAGCCGATCGAGGACGAAGGGGAGGCTACAAAAGGCACTACTATGAGCTCTTTGAAGAAGGTTCAGACGGAGAAGAAGGACCGGCCCCCGCGAGGGGTTTTGTCGGAGCTGGTCAACAAAGCGGCGAAGAGGCCCAAGGAGAAGAAGGAAGAGAGGAAAGAAAGCAAATCGACGAAGACGGCTATGGCCCTGGTCCAAACCCTTGCCCGGGGGCTTGGGGTCAAGAAGCTACCCAAGAAGGCATCGGGAGAGTTGAGGAAGAGGAAGAAGAGCAGAGGAGGTGCCGAGGAGGATCCAGAGGAGTCAAGCGAGGGCAAGCGCAGCAAGAGCTCTCTGACCAAGAGCTCGGAGAGTGGCTCAGAGAACACCTCCGGGGAGGACATCGAGAAAGTGGAGATGGAGAAGGCGACACCCCCGCTGGAACGGATGAGCCAAAAGAAAAAAGGGCTCGGTGCTGAGGCTGTTTGTGCAGCATATGCGCGAATCGCTGCAGAATCTAGACGAAGGAGAGATGGTCGAGCCCGAGTCAGTGGTAGGAGGAGTCTCAGCCATAAAGTATTGGCGCTTGATCGTGAAGCCCCAGATGACAGGGAGGATGAAAGAAGCACGGGAGGTTTACTGCCTCCTGCAGGCACTAGATCTCCTGCGGGGCGGACATCTGGATCAGATGGGCGACCTGCTGGCGGCTCGGATCATGGCCATCCATCAGTCGGTCTCGGACGGAGGCAGCTGGAGAGCCGCCAAGCATTTGGAGATAAAGCCCTTGGAGACGACCTCAGCCTCGAAGACAAGCGTGGTGCTGCAGGCTCGCAAGTTCGCCAAGATAGCCGACCGTGCGCAGGGCATACAACCCATGCGCTGGTCGCCTTATGGCAAAGGTGGAAGAGCGTGGCGCGACGAGGAGTATGGTGGCGCCGATGGGCGAGGAAAAGGAAAGCGCAAGAAGGGCAAAGGAAAAGGCAAGGCCAAAGGAGGAGCCAAGGACTGGCGGGAGAGTCAGGAGCCCCCGCCGGGAAAGGCAGAGAGTTGAAGCGAGGCTGCGTTCGATCGGTGTTGGAGGCAGCCACGGATATGAAGGCCCTCGGAGAGGGGCTAGCATGGTTGACAGTACAGTGCATGGATCTTTCAAGAGGACAGGAGCTGAGGACCTTGTTGGGACTTGGAGCCGTGAAGTGGCGGGCCGAGAGTGGTCGTAAGCATCCCTCTCGTTCGCTCATCCCCATCCCTGCGATGCAGTTCGCTGGATTGGTGACACGTTTGAAGCATCAGTCGTTGTCGGACTTCGTAGCAGGTCTTTCTCCGCATCTTGAGCGCAGGGTGGATTTGAAGCCCGATGCGCGGTCGAGCCTTGAGGACGAAGAGAGAGGCGAGGAGGCATGGCTGCTCTGCACTTCCGCTGGCTGCAACTTGATGGCCGGCCACCGAGAGCTGCTTACGGCCGGCGAGACAACCGCTTTGCAGCGTAGTGCCATCGAGCAGTTGAGGCCGACGCTCAAGCGAAGTCTTGAACCGCGCCAGGACCTTCGTTGGCTTGAAAATGATTGCAAGCTTGAGCTGAGGAGAACCCAGGTTAGTTACACCGGGGAAGAGGTTGAGGTAGCACAGAGGTTGACTCTCCCCCAAATGGAACCTGCTCTTCCCCCTTTTGGCTTCGGAGGTAAGATTGACATTTGGGAGTATCTTTCTGAGGGAAGTGCATCTTGGTTGAGGTCCCCTGAGCGTTTGAAGAGGAACTCTGACCTTTTTGGGGGTTACAAGTTTGAGGCGAAACTGCACATGTTGGACACTGACAAGCTGTCGATCGCCCACACCTTGGTGAGTAGGGGCGTTTGTGACTGGATCCCCATCTCTGAGGTGTTCGAGTTTCAGGGGAAGAGATTATTTAACGGTATGTTCGGAGTTAAGAAGGAAGCACACTTGGACTCTGGACTCCCGATCTTGCGCACCATTATGAATCTCACCCCTTGCAATAGGCTGTTTTTCCCATTGGAAGCAGGACATGGTGCTCTACCAGATATCCACAGTTGGTCAACCATAGTAATGTCAGGCTCGGAGGTGCTTGAAACGTCCCAGTCCGACATGACTGCAGCATTTTACCTATTCGCAATCCCACGGTGTTGGTGGGGGTACCTGAGCTTCAACATTCGTTGTGACGGGACAGAACTCCCAGGGAGGACCGGCGGGGAGCACTGCCTTTGTTGCAAAGTGCTCCCAATGGGCTGGCACTCCTCGGTGTCCCTCATGCAAGAGGCGTCGTCGAGGATCATGAAAAGGGCCAACCTACCTCGAGAACATCAGATTTCCCGAAACTCAACGGTCCCGGGCTGGATGGTTGGTCTTAGTGGTTTCGTCGAACCCGGTCACCGAGACTGGTGGCAGCTTTATCTCGATAACTTCGCTTCAGCTCGCCTACGGGACCACTATGAGGAGACCGAAGCAAATCCTGATGCTTGGCAACGGTGGCATGAAGCGGCGGAGCAAGTGTGGGGGCGCATAGGGATTGTGAGCTCTGAAAAGAAGAGGGTCCAGAATGCAACCCAAGCAACTGAACTTGGGGCTTTCATTGATGGGCATAATAAGATGGTTGGAGGTTCCCCCCTGCGTCTCCTGAAGACCGCCAAGCTGATCCTCTTCTTGCTTTGTTCGGAGTTCTCGGTTAAGGACCTCCAGACTGTTGTAGGGCGTGTCTTGTTTTTGATGTCCTTTCGCCGTCCGTCGATGTCCGTGTTCACTCACGTTTGGAAGTACATCGCGAAGCCGGCCCTCCGTCGCACACTGCTGCCGGTAGTGAGAAGAGAACTTTACAATGCTTTGTTGCTTCTCCCGTTGTTCAAACAAGACCTTACGGCGGAAGTCGCTGACGTGGTCACCTGTTCGGACGCTTCACAGACTGGCGGAGCCACAGCTATCGCCCGTGAGTTGACCTTGGAAGGGAGAGAGTTTTTGAGACAAAGTGTACAACCACACTCAACCCCGAGAAGGGAGCGGATTCTGGTAATCTCCCTGTTCAACGGTATAGGAGGGGCCTTTAGGGCGTATGATTTGCTGGGCATAATGGTTGAAGGCGCCGTCTACTCAGAGATCAGCAAAGAAGCATGCCGGGTCACAGACAGGCGCTGGCCGAACGCCAGCAACCTCGGAGACATCCGGTCAATCACAAGGGAAACTTTGGTGACCCTCGCGATCCGGTTCGCGGGGTGCTCGCGGGTGGACATCTGGAGTGGTTTCCCCTGTGTTGATCTTAGTGCAGTTAATTGTTACCGTGCCAACCTGCAAGGTTCACAATCTTCTTTGTTATTTGAGGCTCTCCGTGTGGAAAGGTTGATCCGAGACGTGTTTCCCCCTTGCGTGAAGATAAACTACATCTATGAGAACGTCTCCTCCATGGACGTGGAAGCTAGGAACCAGATAAGTATTTTGGTAGGCGGAAAACCTTGGAAAGTGGACCCCCGTGACGTGCTGCCAATCTCGCGGCCCAGGTTCGCGTGGGTCAGCTTCCCGCCGAAACCTCTCGAGGGCCTGCAGTTCGTGGAAAGGGACGGCTTCACGGAGCTACAGATGACTGGCCAAGGTGTCGAGGCAGCGCAATGGATCAGGCCCGGCTGGCGGCGGGGAGGAGGGGCAGACGCAGGCCCGTTTCCCTGCTTTATGAAAGCAATCCCCCGCCGTGTGCCGCCGCCGCGTCCCGTTGGATTGGCCCGTTGTGACGAAGGAACCCGAGGTCGTTGGCACGCGGATCAGTTTAAGTTCCCGCCATACCAATATAAAGAAGAACATACTTTGTGGAAAGCCAGTCGTTGGAGAACCCTGGAATCCATTGAGAGAGAGCTCATCATGGGCTTCGGTTTTGAACACACGGGTCCCTGCTGGGGGGCCACTGCAATCAAATCAGATTTGGGGAGCTATGAGAATGCCAGGCTCTCATTGATCGGAGATAGTTTTTGCATGCTCTCGTTTGCGGCGGTTTTAGCGTGTTCCTTTGATTGGTCACCAGGAGAGTTCTCCGTCGATCGCCTGATCCGTCGGTTAGGAATGGCTCCCGGGGTTTGTTTGGGATGGCCTACACTGGCGCCCATTGCCAGGCGTTTAGTTTTTGGCCCTCCAGAGGGGCCTCTCCCTGACAAAGAATCTCTGGTTGAGCTCAACCGGGTATTCTTGCAACGTACCAACCACACGACTTCGGACGTTCGGATCATTACTGGTCAGTTGATGAACCCTAAACAGGCCCTCCGACAATCCATACCCAGTTGTCTTTGGGAATGGCGCTTCCAATTCCAGAACAAGTGGGGCGTCCACGAGCACATAAACGCATTAGAGCTGCGGCAAGCATTTAACACGATGTGTTGGTTGATCAGGGACCGTGTGCATTTTAACCTGCGGTGGGTTCATTGCAGTGACTCCTACGTCACTATTGCCATACTAAGCAAGGGTCGGACCTCATCGTTGAAGCTCGAGGCGTTAGTTCATCGGTTCAATGCTCACCTTTTACTGGCTCAAATCTATCCAGTTCTCCTCCATGTGGCTTCATTAGATAACCCTACTGATGAAGCATCCCGCAAGTTCTCGTGAGGCCACTCGCTGGCGCGCCCAACGTCGGCGCCGCCGCGCGGGGATTTCCCTCCGGGATGCAGGGATCACTGAAAAGACTCGAACTCGATACTATGCCGGTCTGCAGGCTGTGCTGTTCATTTTGAATCAGGCCTTAAGCTGGTATGATCTGGACATGCGCTTGGCTGACTGGATTGAGGCACAATGGTCAAATGGTGCACCCCTTGGCCACATCTCCGACACACTGTGTGGACTTTCTCATTACGTTCCACAAGCCAAACACCAAACACCAGAATCCTGGTCACTCTTCAAGGTGTGGCGGAAGGTTGAACGGCCCAGCCGGGCACCACCTTTCCCTCCTCTGGTCATTTGGGGCCTGATCGGTTTCAGCCTGCACTCTAATGAGCCCCGAATGGCCGCCATACTGGCGCTGGGGTTTCATGCGTGTCTACGCACGGGGGAGGTCCTTGGTGTCTCTCCTCGGGATTTCTTGTTGAAACCCACTCATGGTTTACTTCGACTCACTGACACCAAAAGTTCCAAGAATGCCGATGAATTCATCCGCCTCGATGACGAGCGTGTCTTGATGATCCTGCATTTGATCCAGGATTGGATCCCAGAAAAGGACTGGCACAAGCCCATCTGGAACCATTCACCGCAGGCTTTCAGGACTAGGCTGGCCCAACTCTTGGCGCACTTCCAGCTCCAGACCCATGGCTTCCGGGGCTATTCGCTCCGTCGCGGAGGTGCGACCCACCATTTTGACGAAGGTGGCATGCAGCTTAGAGAAAACGTTGCTCTTCGGAAGATGGCAGTCAAGCCGGGTGGCCCGTATATATCTTTGCGACGGGCTGGCGCGACTCTCCCAAATGCGGCTCAGTGAAACTCAGCGTGCTCGACTTACAAAGTTTGCCTCCTTCCACTTCTGAGAGGCTGGGAGTCTTGACCTTGTTTCAACCGTTGGTCGAGTGCGTTCCGCAGGGGTCGTGGAAAGCCACGTTGGACAGGAATTCTTTTTGGAATTCAGCAGAACGGGTGCGAGATGCCATGTCTCGACATAAGGATGACTTGGGATGCCACGTCCCGTTTGAACATAAGTCTTCCTTGCACCTGGGAATGTTCAGAACAGTTGA